GCGCCCGAATCATGAAGAAGCAGCGCGGAGCCCCACGTCATCAGCTACAACGCTGAGATCAGGCGAACGCGCAGCTGCCAGGATGCCCGCCCCCTCCCGCCCCCTCCTCCTCCTCTGCGTCGCCACCCTCCTCCACCTCCTGGCAGACCAGGGCGCCAGCCGATGCGGCGCCGCGGGCAGAGTGCGGGGACAGCAGAGTCGTGATCAGCTACAGCGTAGGGATCAGGCCGTGAGAGACGACCAGCTGTGGCAGGCAGAGCTGACGCTGCGAGGAAGCAAGCAGTGGCAGCCAGAGCTGGCGCTGCGACAGGGACGAAGGCGCGGGTGGGCCACGATCAGCTACAACGCTGGGAGCAATCCGTGCGAGAAAGGGAGCGCGCAGTGTCAGCGGACGCTGGCGCTGTGCAAAATGCGCGGGTGGGCCACGATCAGCTGCAACGCTGGGAGTCGTCCGTGCGAGAAGGAGGGCCTGCGAGAAGCGGGAGGCGAAACTGGAGCCCGAGTGTCTCTTCTAGCTAACGCCTCTGGGAACAGCGCGGGTGAGAAAAGCGAGCAATGTTCTGCCGCGGCCATCCTGCGAAAAGTGGGAGGCGAAGGCAGAGCCCGATGTCGACAGCTACAGCGTTGGGGTCGGGGCAAGCCGCTGCGAAAAGAGGGAGGCGAAGCTGGAGCCCGAGTGTCTCTTCTAGCTAACGCCTCTGGGAACAGCGCGTGCGAGAAAAGCGAGCAATGTTCTTCCGCGGCCATCCTGCGAGAAGCGGGAGGCGAAGGCAGAGCCCGATGTCGACAGCTACAGCGTTGGGATCGGGGCAAGCCGCTGCGAGAAGAGGGAGGCGAAGCTGGAGCCCGAGTGTCTCTTCTAGCTAACGCCTCTGGGAACAGTGTGTGCGAGAAAAGCGAGCAATGTTCTGCCGCCGCCATCCTGCGAGAAGCGGGAGGCGAAGGCGGAGCCCGATGTCGACAGCTACAGCGTTGGGATCGGGGCAAGCCGCTGCGAGAAAAGGGAGGCGAAGCTGGAGCCACACGTCGTATAGCTAACACCTCTGGGAACAGTGTGTGCGAGAATAGCGCCACCCTGCGAGAAGTGGGAGGCGAAGGCAGAGCTAACACCTCTGGGAACAGTGTGTGCGAGAAGAGCGCCATCCTGCGAGAAGCGGGAGGCGAAGGCAGAGCCCGACGTCGTCTGCTACAGCGTCGGGATCTGGGCAAGCCCCTGCGAGAAAAGGGAAGCAACGCTGGAGCCAAACGTCACCTTGCTAGCCACCACCGTGCGCTGGGAGAAGCGGGGAGGCAAAGTTGGAGCCCGACTCTATCTAGCTACACTCGCTAGAAGCAGCGCGTGCGAGAAGTGCAGTGGCCAACGAACTGGTTCCGGCGCGAAATGGCAGGGCACGGACGAGCTACCCTCAGTTACAGTGCAAAGATCAGCCCGCTGTGCGAGAACAGGAGTGGAGGAAATCCACTCGCGCGAAAAGGGGGAAGCAAGCAGGCAGTGGCAGCGGGGCTGCCCAAGCGTGCGTGCGAGAAGCAGGCAGTGGCAGCGTGCTGCCACGGCGTGTCTCAATGTCCTGGGGGCGACACCCGACCACCAACCGCCTGTTCTGATGCAGCCCCATGTCGCCCAGGAGAGGCCTGGGGGATGGTGCTGTCTCCTCGTCGTCGGCCGCGCTCTCTTGCTCAAGGCGCGGCCGATCTGGATCGCAGAATCCTCGTCGCAGAATCCTCCTCCTCCGCGAGCTTACTCGTCCTGCTCCGCGATCCTCCTCCTCCTCCTCCTCCGCTATTTCCGCTATTTGCCGCGCCATGAAGGGTTTGATTCCTGAAGCGCAACACGGCGGCAGCTGCCGCCGACCGAGGCGCCTCCGCGCCCGAGCCTAGCCGCGCACGCGGCCGACGCGCGGGCGCCTTCGGCGCCGGGGGGGGGGAGGGGGCCCCGCCCAGGGGAGAGGAAGGGGCCTCCAGGATCCCTCGGGCCTCCTCCTCCTCCCCGCCTCCCTCCCCGAGGCTCCTCCTCCCCCGATGCAGGGCCCCGGGGGAGGCGGGGGGCCGGCCGCCCCCGCTCCGCCTCGGGGGGCCGCCGCGTTTTGGCCGGGGCTGCCGCGCGCCACGGCCTGGGACGTAGAGTGCTCCAACATTTCGCAACACAACGGAGGGGTCGGGGAGACGTAAGACCCGGGTACGGGAGACTCGGAAATCCCCGACGAGGTCGTCAAAAAAATGACGAGGCCGAGCCTGCATTTTGACGAGGCTTCCCGCTGCAGACATCCCCACGAAACTCCTCCTCGTCAAAATCCGAGGCGCGGTCGTCAAAAAACGATGGCGAACCCGAGTCCTGGCAAACCCGGGTCTTACGCTCCCCCGAAGGGGGGGGCGCACAGCCCTCCCTCGACGCGACGCCCTGTCGCGAACCTCGACTAGTGACAGGAGGGTGTCGAAGCCCTCCCGGACGAGCAGCTCCAGATCCCCCCCCCCCCAGACAAGCCATGAACGGGGGGCCCTTTTCGCCCAGGCCCCGCAGAGCTCTCCAAGACGGCTCCAATCAGACCCCTCCAAAAACTCAGATCGCCCCCGTTGAGCTTGACATTCGGAATAATTATGCTGATCTCGGAGTAGATTTTTTCCGGCGGTGCACAAACCTCCCTTCAGTGAACCTGCCCTTAGTGAAAACGGCCTGGGACCGAAACCGACCTGGACCCGCAGAAATGACGGCAGCGACGCCCTGTCGCGAACCGAAAACGGCCAATTCCTTAATCGACGTCCGAAACGGTGCGGTGACAGACCGTGCGGTGACCTCGGAACCCCAAGAGACCTCACCGCACGGTCCGTCACCGCACGGTCTTGGGACCCAGGAGGCCCCTGTCGCCCGAGACGTCCTCGGAGAACGACACGAGTCCCAAAACCGTGCGGTGACCTCGAATCCCCACCGACTCACCGCACGGTGTGGTCACCACCCCGTTTGGGGACCCCCGACTTCTTTGTACTGGAGCTGAGAGGGTCCGGTTTTTTAGGGGGGGGGTCGATTGGTGAGGGATTTTTGGAGTAGAGTGAAGGGGCCCCAAAGAAATACACACAAGTAAAACGATCCCCCATATTTTCGCATATTTTCTGTTTTTCTCTGTCTTCCCCCCCCCACACTTCCCATATTTTCTTATTTTTTCTGGAGAATCGACGATTCATTGTGCCGGTGGGTTTTTTCCCCTCCTGCTTTTTGGGGGGGGGGTCGATCGATAAGGGATTTCTGGAGTAGAGGGCGGGCCGTTTCCGAGGCGCGGCTCTCGCCGCAGCGCCGCGCGCGCTCGCCACAGCAGAAAAATGGCACGGGCTTCGCGGACCGAGGGCGCGGGCGCTTCTCCGTAGGCAGGCGCGTGCCACGACTCGCGGACTCACTGCTCGCAGATGGCCCGGGTCGGTCGCGAAGGCTCTACGTCAGAGCGCGAATCACCTGCCCCGCGTTCGCTTCCAGGCAAAACCAGGCCCTACCGCGCGCCTCCTCGTCAAGCGGCCTGACCAGTGCAGGCTGCAATTTGGCATCGTTTGGCATCTCTTGGAAGCGGGGGTGGTCAAAAGCGAGGTAGGTTTGGTTTCCCCCTACTACGATAAATCACATCGAGGCGAACGTCTGCGTTCCGGACGCTTGCGGGTAGACACTCTGCGACCAGTGGAACGCATCTGGTGGCTCGAGAAGAAAAAGTGCGGCTCCCGCCTCCACGCCGCGCCCCCACTCTGTCGCAGCAGCTGCCGGAGCTCCGCGGCTGCTGGAGGGCGGGCCGCTCGTGTGTTGTTTCTGCTGCGTTGCTCGTCGTGTTTCTCGTATCTGCGCGCAGCTCGCCACGACGCCGCGCACGCTCCTCGCACAGGGTTGCCAACGAGCTGCATAAGGGGGCTGCTTCCCCGAGGCGGCTCGCGCCGTGGTGCTGCGCACCCACGCCCTGCAAGTTTTTGGTTTGGGTTTTTGTTTGTGCTTGAACAAAAAACACGCCCTGCAAGTCTGCAGGTGCTTCTCGCGGATGCAGGGCGGTCCTCTTCGGGGTCAGTGGCTCCCCCGCTGCGGCGCCGCGCGCAGATGCGTCTTGAGCGCACCTGCAGGGGCTCCACGGGTGGAAAGCTTCCGCCGCAGCGCCGCGCACGCGCGGTTCTTGAGAGTCTGCGACAGCTCCACGGGTGATTTGGGCTGACGCCCCAGCGTTGGAGCTTGGGCACGGTGCAGGTCTGCAGCGGCGCAGCGGTTCTGTGGAGTCACCGAGCTCGAGTCCGGGGAAGGGCGTTCTGGTACGATTCGGGATCGTCAGGACGCAGGAGCAACGTGGATTCGCGGCGTCGGAATCCCAGAAACTCGTGTGATAGCATGGATCATGATTTTTAAACGATTGTCTTCCAACGGTGGACGCTGCTGAGTAAGAGCCACTCCTTGTAGGGGCCTCTGAGGAAGGAACTTGGAGGGAGGGTTTATTGCAGCATCGCTGGTGGGCCTTGGGGTCACACTGGTCCTCCTCCTCCTCTCCTTCGACCAGCCCTTCCCCCGAAACGACACACACACACACACTCTCCCACTCACTCCTCTCCCCCGTGCTCTCCGCATCTCCTCCTCTTCGTCTGTCCCCCTCTCGGGCTGGGCGAAAGGGGGGGATAGCAAAGGGGGGTTTGAGAATCAGCTCACGCAGCTGATTCTCCCGGCGCGCCTCCTGGCGCCGGAGGCGGCCACGCATCGAGGACCCAGCCCCTCGGTGGGGCCGAAACCAGCTGCAGGCAGCCGATTTCGTAACCTCCCCTTTCCATATCCCCCCCCTTCGTCCGGCCCGACCCTCCCGCTCCTCGCCATCGCTCGGACGTTCATTCCCTGTGTTTTTGTTCGGTTTCGTGCGCGTTTTTTCGCCAAGTGATCACGGATGTTCCTCGATGGTTCTCGCCGAGAAAAAATGCACACGTCCGAGCGATGCCAAGGCTCCCTCCCCTCGTGGGAGGAAGGCCCGACGATCCGCCCCCCCCGCTGGCGAGCGCGCGCGCGGCCGCCGCGCGGCCTCGGCGGCGCGGCACGGCACGGAGGCGCGCGCCAGCAGCGAGGCCGTGGGGTTCGCGGCCTGCTCGCACGCGTGCGGGGCGCGCGATGTCGTCGTCGTCGTCGCCGTCGTCGTCGTCGTCGTCGTCGTCGCCGCCGTCGCCGCCGTCGTCGTCGTCGTCGTCGTTGTTGGCGTCGTCGTCGTCGCCGTCGCCGCCACCATCGCCGTCGCCGTCGTCATCGCCGCCGCCGCCGCCGTCCGCCGCCGTCCACACTCTCTGCCCCTACTCCTCGTTCTGTTCTTGCTGCTCCTCTTCCTGCCGCTTCTGGGCCCTCGACTCCGTCTGCTCCTCCTCCTCCTCCTTCTCCTCGTTCCCCGTCGAACGTCCAGCAAGAAGGGCGGCGGGAGGGAGGTGGGGAAACCAAACCAAAAGGTACCGATACATCTCCTCCTGGGGGGGTGTTCTGACCAGGATTTCGAGGCGAATCCAGCGGGGGCGACGAAGGCCGCCCAGGCCCCCAAAAGCGGAAAACGAGGGAAGGGTAGCGGAATGGGTATCCTTGCCCCCTCCGATGTTTGGCGTGGGCGCACTGTCTTCGCAGTTCTCAACACAAGCGCTTCCGAAAGGCAGGGGGCGGCGGTGACTCGCCCAAGGCGTCTTCAGGTCGTGGCTCGTCGGGTACAGCTGGAGGCGGGCATCTGCGCGGGAGCCTCTGGAGGCCACCTCCTCCTCCATCTCCCCCCCTCCTCCTCCTCCTCCTCCTCCTCCTCCTCCTCATCCTCCTCCTCCTCCTTCACCTCCTCCCCCTCCTCACCCTCTTCTCGGCATCTCCTCGTCCTCCCCCCGTACCGCGATCCTCGAGGCTCGGCCCGCCTCTACCCGCATCCTGTTGAGCAGGGACCGACCGTCCTGGCATTCCTGTAGGCCTACCACGGCATGCTCTCAGAACCCACACACATGTTCTAAGAACGAGAACCATGTCCTGAGAACACAAACCCGATGTGCTAGAACAAGACAGTTCCAACCAGAAATGGTCTAAGAACATTCCGTAGAAGCCCCACGAACGGCTCTTACAGTTGGGGTCCTGAGGAAGGAACCCTGTTCGTTGGGAAGGGGCTCCGCGTTCCTGAACACAGCTTGCCTCAGGCTTTCCCTATGTCTTCGTCAGGAAATCGAAGGTTTACTTATAGAAAAAGAAGGCCTCGTTCCTCATTTAGGGTTCCTCAGGTCAACGCCCCGACTGTGGAGCACTGCTTGGTGGGCCTGTGGGCAAGCCGGGGAGCTCCGCCACTGCTCGACCCCCCCTCCGCGGGAGGCGAGGGCCTCGGTCTCGAAGCGGAGCGCCACGACCCGCCTGCGCGCGCGGCGGTGAGGCGGCGCGCGCCGCGCGCCGCGGGCCCAAGACCGGCCTTCCCCCCACACGAGCATCGTTTGACCGATCCCTACCCCCACTGGCGTGGCCCTGGCCCCACTGGCCGAGGTGTTCCCCCTAGATGGGGATGTATGAAGGGGCCCCGGGAAACACACATAAAAATACACACAAATAAGAAGATTCCCACATTTTTCCAATATTTTATTGGTGTTTGTCATCCTCCCCCACTTCCCCTATTTTCCCATATTTTCTGGGGGATCGACGATTAATTGTGTCTGTGTGTCTTTTCCCTCCTGAAATGTAGGCTGTTGCCTTCGGGGGCGTGGTACTCACGCTGACATGGGCCGAGGTGCCATGGCCCATTGGGGATAGGGATCGGATAAACGATACTGACCACAGGCCTTCTGAGCCGGCGGAAGCACTGCGTCAGCGTGTCCCAGGAGCTGGCACCGGGTGCCAGCCTGGCCATCGCTCGGACGTCCATTCCATTGTGTTTTTTTCGGTTTCGTGCGTGGCTTTCTCGCCAAACGACCAAGGATGCTCCTCGATGGTCCCCGCCGAAAGAAACATGCACACGTCCGAGCGATGCCCAGCAGCCGAGCGACGATCGAGAACGGGTCCTGCGCGAGGCAGCAAGGCGACCTTGCGCAGCGGATGGCGCGGGCCGCCGGCGCGGCACGCTGCACTGCGGAGGAGGACGCCCACGCGCGACCTCACGCCGGCAGCTTGCGCGCCAAGGTCGGCGCAGACGATCCCGCGTTCGTGCGCCGCTGCGCTGGAATCCGAACACTGCGCGCCCATGCGGGCAGCAGGAGCGCTGCCTGACTGCGGGGCGCGGCACGTGCCGTGCGCCATGCCCCGCTCGGAGGCACTGGAGTGCCGTGCGGGACCTGCTCTGGAACACGAAATAGCGCAGACGGACATCGCCTTTCTCCGAGCTTGTACTGCGTCGAACGCAACCGCCGCGTCGTCTGTAGACGCATCCAACCCGAATGTCTTGATATACGCAACGACACCCAATGTGCCCATAGACGCGTCTGGCTAGAAAATGAAAGCGGGACTTGGTATAGGCCCCAAATGTTGGTCGTCTAGGCAAAAACAACCTTGTGGACGCCCGGAATACGGAAATAATGGGTACAATGCCCAACAGCAAATGTTGTCCAAAAACGACAGCGGCTGTTGTTGGGAAGGCGGCTTTTTGTCTTTAGTGGACACAGGCCGCGGCGACGCCGACAGCGACTCCTGTCCAGAATGAACAGGAACTGCCTGGTCTTTGTACCCATTCTTTCCGTACCCATTTCGATCGTCCCGAAACCTTCGGGAGCGGCCAAGAGGGGGGTGTCCAAGAGGGGGGGTGCAAATCATGACCAGCGGCATGTGCGCGGCCCAGCGGGGGGGCCAGGGACGTAATGAAAGAAGAAGAGGCGCCATGAGTCCTGCGGAAATATCCTGGCCCCCGCCACGATATCCCCCCCCCCCCCCCTAGTCACCACCCCCCTCGTTTCCGCCCCCGAAACCTCTTGCCCTCCGAGATGGAAAGACGTTGCTGGGAAAAGGGAGGGGCAAAACAGCTCTAAACCGACTCGTCTCGCCCGGTCCTCTGCGCTGCAGCTGTGAAGAGGCCCCAGGACACACAAACAAATGCACACAAGCAGCAGGATTCCCGATTTTTTCCCATATTTTCGGAGTTTCTGTCTTCCCCCCCACCCCCCATATTTTCCCACATTCCCCTGGGGATCGACGATTAATTGTGTCTGTGTGTTTTTTCCCCTCCTGAAACTGGTGCCAGGAGGCGCCGGCTGGACCCCCTGCGGCGCGCGAGCCGCAGCCCCCGACGCAGGCCGAAGGAAGACAAGCCCCTGAGGGCCACAACCAGCCGCCTCTGGGGGCGCTCTTCCTCCTCCTCCACCTCCTCCTCCTCCTCCTCCTCCTCCTCATCCTCCTCCTCCTCCTCCTCCTTAATCCTCCTCCTCCTCCTCCTCCTCCCTCCTCCTCCTCCTCCTCCTCCTCCTCCTCCTCCCCCTCCTCCCCCTCCTCCTCCTCCTCCCCCTCCTCTTCCTCCTCCTCCTCGGCGCGCGCGGGGCGGCGGCGCTGCCGCGCAGAGAAAGGGGAAGGTGGAGGAAGAGACGAGGACGGAGGGGTGAGCCTGCACCCGGCGTGGCAGGTCGCAGATGGGGCAGGGCGAAACGCACAGGGCGAGAGCGCAGTCGTCCTGCGCCACCGAGAGCCGCGGCTGCCGCGGCGGACAGGGCTGAGGGGCAACGATAGCGGGGGACTGGCATGGGGGGGGTGCATCGACATGGAATCGGCGATACATCGCCGATAGATCGGCGATAGGCTCCCGATAGCGAATCCCTGCGTTTCTGGGCGGGACGGGGCTTTAGGCCCCCTATCGGCGGTTTATGGGCGATTGGGAGTCGATGCATCCCCCCTATGCCTATCCCCCTTATCGTTGCCCCCGAAGAGCACATAAGGGCACTGCAAGGGGGCGGGACCTCAAACGCATGCCATCCCACCCGAACCCTGACAGAAAGGTCAGTGCCAGGGGCTTTGCTCACGGGGGAACGAAGAATGGCATAAACAAGAAAAACTCGGAGGTCCGCGCGGGCTTCTCGGATCGGCGCTGGACACCCCTCCCTGGCGCGCGGAGCTCGCCAGGGGCGGCGCTGGCGGCGCCGCCAGGGGGGTCCAGCGCGCATCCGAGAAATCCGCGCGGACCTCCGAGTTCTTCTGTGCCAAAAATAAAGGCATGAGAAACAGCGGAGGTCCGCAGGGGCTTCTCCATCTGCGCCTGGGACCATTGGCGGCGCCTCCGGCGCCGCCCCGGGTGAGCTCCGCGCGCCACGGGAAGATGGTCCAGCGCCGATCCGAGAAATCCGCTGGGAGCTCCGAGGAGTGCCGCTTGTGCCATCGTTGGTCCCCGTGGTGTGGGACTACCTGTTTCGCCACAAGCCTACTCGGGAAGCAGACCCTATCCCAAGAAGCAAGCATGGTGGGCTTGTTTTCCGCCGCCACCACCATAATTAGGAGGGGGAGGGGTCCTCCTCCTCCTCCTCCTCCTCCTCCTCCTCCTCTTCGTCCTCCTCCTCGTCCTCCACCTCCTTCCCGCCTCCAACTTATGGTGGTGGTGGTGGAAAACAGGCCCATCAAACCAACACCCCCCCAGGCGATATCGCTAGCACCAGAACAAGATCCATCGATCTGGCGCGCGAGTTTAAAAAGGGCCTGGGCTTCACCTAAGCTCTGCTGGGGGGGGCCGGCAGGGCTAGCTCTGAGTGGGAAGGGGGGAGGGGGGGGGGGCGTGTGATAATAAATCCCCCCCCGCCCAAAGATCCGACGTCGTGAGTTTTTTTTAACAGGGCTCCCGGAAGCCTCGACCCATTCCCCAGGACCGGTTTTCCATCCTGAGTCGTTTTTTGACGGTCCCGAGGCCCGGCGTGGGCCTCTAGAGCTCCGAAAGTGCGAAAAAAAAACGTCGCCTTGATGTTTTCAATGCGCTGGATCTCTGGGCGGGGGACCCGTTTTTTGTGATTGACCTGCCCCTCCCGAATGGTATGTGGGGGAAGGTCCCAGGGACCCCCCCCCTGGAACCGGGGGGAGGGAGGAGGAGGAGGAGGAGGAGGAGGAGGAGAGGAGGAGGAGGAGGAGGAGGAGGAGGAGGAGGAGGAGGAGGAGGAGGAGGAGGGGGGAGGAGGAGGAGGAGGAGGAGGAGGAGGAGGGGAGGAGAGGGGGAGGAGGAGGAGGAGGAGCTCCCCCTTTCCCCCCCCCCAGCCCAGCGCCCCCCCGGACGGGGGGAGGTTCGAGCCCCGGGGTTGGCGGCACTGGCCGAAGGCCACTCGCAGTACAGTCGGGGCGTTGACCTAAGGAACCCTAAATAAGGAACGAGGCCCCTTTTCTTCCAGGAGCTAAGCTTCGCATTCCGATCGAAGACCTAAGGAAAACCCAAGGCGGCCTGCAAAACAACCAAGGAACACTGAGCCCCTCCCAGACGAAAGGGTTCCTTCTTCAGCGCCCCGACCGTATAGCTTGTTTCTCGGGCGCACCCCCCTCCTGCTCCCGCTGCCCGGGTCGCGGGCCTCTGTGGAGGATACATCGCTTCCGCCCGGGCCCCCGAGCCAGAAGCGTTGTCGCTTCTCCTCTGGAGAGGGAGTTCTGGCGCTTCCTGGCGGGACGCAGAACGCCAGCGCAGAACGCAGCGGTCCACGCCCGGGGGGGCGGCCCCAAGACAGACGGAAAGCGTGCTCAGCACGCTGGTCCTTCGAGAAGGACCGGTGTAGCTGCTGTGAAGTAGCACGTGCGAAGAAGCGAAACAGCCAAACGCTGCAGCGAGACACAGCCAAACGCTGCAGCGAAGAAACAGCCACGCGCACAGGGGGGTAGGGGGAGGGGGCACAACTTCTTAGGAGACTGCTCCTTTAAAAGGCGCCGGCCTTATATCTACGAACGAAGCCCGCGCCTTCTATGAAGCAGGGGTGATTCTAAAAAGCCTTCCCCCCTCACTACCCCCCTCTGCGCGTGGCCGAGGTTTACTGATTGCGTTCTAGGGTTGGGGGGAAGCGCAACTGCCCTATCTACGTCACCGAAGTCCCGTACAGTCGAACCTTCTGAAGTAAAGAACGCTAGACAAGGAACGAGGCCCCTCTGGGGCCTCACGAGCGCCTGCGTGGGCGAGGAGCGCTGGAGAAACAGCTATGGCAGGACCCGGGGATCATCGAGCCTCTTGTGAACGTTTTCTTATTCGGCGTCTCGACATTGGGCGGAAGGGGGAAGATGGGGGGGGGGCGGGGCGCGTCTGGCTGAAGGGGCCCCAGGACACACAAATAAATACACGCAAATAAAATGATTCCCCATATTTTCCCATATTTTCTGGATTTTTGTCTTCCCGCCCAATTCCCATATTTTCCCTATTTTCCTGGCACTCGACGATTAATTGTGTCTGTGTGTTTCTTCCCCTCCTGACTGGCCCCGGACTTCTGCGGCAT